TTGAATAGGACCTCACACGTGGCTAGAGATGGCATCATTTCTTTTCCACCAACAATTTCCATGTCTATTTCCAAGGCAAATGGATTCATCTTAATTGGTAAACAGATCAATATTCTCAACACTATCTCCTTGGAGAACATATGTGTGCATCTCAGTTGCCTCCAGGGACATGCCTGGGTCCCTCTCTCTTTCCCATGGTTAAACGCAGACCCAGTCAGAAACAGAGGTTGGCCAGGATGGTCAATCTTCCACTGCAGTTCAAGTCAGAAATATTATACCTTGCCTATACTCACAGTATCTGTATTGTTATCTTCTGATGCATTCCCTCAGTATACAAAAATCTTTCCTCTTTAAAGAAAACCAATTGCTGGTGGTAAGAGAACCCACTTCCTGAAGTATGCTTACACTGGGGGGGTGGAGTGTGTGGTGTGGAAATCCACATATTTAGTGAGTTACAAGTGCCCATTTCTCTAAGTTTTAAAATAGGCAAACAGAAACACTCAAATATGTATTTTAAACTCATGTTGTTGTTGTTGTTGTTGTTTTCAGGACAAAACATTTGTATTTAAATGTAGTGAAGAGATGGGAGAAACTGGTGCCTAAGCCCAAGGCATGGCACAGAGGAGGAGCTAGGTGGGGAGCTCAGAACCCCGGGGAGAGCTGGCAACAATTAGATAAATAATGATTTTTAGGAACTCAGAAGTGCGATGGTTAGCAAAGAACTTAAATAGAACCTCCTTTTCAAAATACCCTGACTGTAGTGTGAGAAGACCTCGGAAAGGAGCTGAACTAGATGACATCTGTAGAGATAGAGGGAATTGGATAGAATTTAGAAACTAATAAATGGTAAAGATGGGAAAATCTTGCTAATGGACTAAGGAAAGAGAGGATGAGATGGTGGATGGTTCCCAGGTCTCTGACTTGAGTAGTGGTTGGGAGAGATGCTATTAATCTAGGGGGTAAATAATGGACAGGGAAGGAGGAACAAGGATTCAGTTAGGGACATGCCATATCTGTGATTCTGCAAAATCTCAAGAGTCATAAATGTTTTTGCAAAACGAGTCTGGAAGAGAAGTCAAGGCTGAATTAAGACTGTGGGAGTCATTGGCACACTATTTGAAGCCATGGTGATGATGTCACATAGAGGTGAGACTAGACAGGAGTTGGGTGGGATTAGCTCTAAAATGTGCCAGGCCTTTAAGAGATCTGATGGAGCGTGGAACTGACAGTGATCCCGAGCAGGCGAGACTAGCTGCAGTTAATGTCCAAGAAAGAAAACAGTCACATTTTATGATCCCAGACCACATATCCCTGGGCAAGCAGCTGTCAGCCACAACCTTGGTTGGCTCAAAACAGGCCATTGCTAAGGCTGAAAAATAAGCCCACTGAATGAAAGCCTTCCTAGCAGAGAGGGAGAAATGTGCACTGAATCGATTGAAAGATTAAACTGAAAGTGTCTGTGGAAGTTCTGGGGTCTGGGGTCTGGGTAGAGACTCGGTTACAGTAAATGGGGATGATCTTGCTTAGTCTGCAGTAGACTGGCTTTTCCTCCCTGGCTTGCAGGAAGCTAAGATGCTGTGCTACAGAGTCCTTGCTTCTCTTACTGTTTAAAACAAAATCGGATGTGGAGATTTAATGAGAAATGTAGCTTGATGAACTACAAAACTGCCAGTTTGGCCTTAAGAAATTAGCACCGAGGAGTTTGAAGCCTCCCTCTCCCTCCCTCCCTCCCTCCCTCCCTCCCTCCCTCCCTCCCTCTGGTTTCAGTATTTCCCAACAGAAAGTGTGTTGATATGGGAAACATGGTTGTATATTCTAGATGGGATATTTGTAGGCTGTGCCAATCTCTAAAAGACTGAAAGCAGAAGGGCCATTATGTAAAATAAGTTGCTGAATCCTGAGTTATTTGTTATGTATCTGGAAGTGATTGCATATCTCCTCCTGCAGAGCCAGATTTATTTGTTAAGGTCCATATCTCGCGTTGTAATGTAAGCGAGGACCCTTGGCCACAGTGTGGCAATATTAGCTGCTGAGGTGCCATTTCTTTGTACAGGGTTTCATTAGCGTGAACTAACACCCCCGTGACTCACTGAAGAGACAACAGTAAGAACAGAGCACTGTTAGACTGAAAGCACCTGAGAGCTTGGGAACCTCCCTGAAGTTGGCCTTTTGTCACAGCTTCCCACCTTCCTTTAATTTTTTATTTTCAAACATATAAATGGAATTTTATTTAAAGTAGTAATTTACAAAACTCATGCTAACGAAATCTCTGTGAATCCTAAGAAACAATTGTTTGATTTCTTTTTTTTCATATATTTTTATTTAGCTTTTTACGCATGTCACTTTCAGTTCCCTCTCCCTCCCCTCCTCCCCCACCTCCCAGTCCTCCCAACCCCTCACCCCCACTCCATCCCACCTCCACTCCCCAGGGAGGGCAAGGGCCTCCATGAGGGATTTTTAGGGTATGTCACATCATCCCGGGAAGGGCCCAGGTTCTTCCCCATGTGTCCAGGCTGAGAGAGCATCCCTCCACGTTCCCAGAGTCCCTCTATATGCCTGGAAGAAACACTGCTCTACTCTCCAAGGTCCCACAGATTGCCAAGCCCTCCTCTCTGTCACCCAGGTTCGGTGGGAGGGTGTCTGGATCTGTCCCATACTGGCCCCTTAGTCATCAGTCTGGGGTCCATGTGTTCCCCTTTGTTTAGGTCAGCTGCCTCTGTGGGTTTTGCCAGCCTGATCTTGATTCCCTTGGTCATCACTCCTCTTTGCAACTGGTTTCCAGGAGTTCAATTCAGTTCACAGCTGTGGGTGTCTGCCTCTGCCTCCATCAGCGATTGGATGAGAGTTCTAGGATGGTATATAAGGTAGTCATCAATCTCATTATCATGGGAGAGCATTTAAGGTAGCCTTAATGCCAGTCGGTGTCATTCTTGTAGATCTGTGAAGATCTCACTAGTGCCAGATCTCTCCTCCAACTTATACTGGCTCCCTCCTTTCTGGTATCTCCCATCCACCTTCCTTTTCAAAACATCTTCTGGTCTTGTTCTGCACTCTCGCTTCGCGTTTCTGTAACAGTGTGACGATTGTGGGAGGGCACCGTTTCCGGATCCACCAGGACATCCTTTTTGTAGGCGCACAGCTTTGTGTGTTCCTGGCTGCATTAGGAGCTGTTCTCTAATAGCCTGTGTGAGACCATATACCTGCTGTGAAACCGGGTCTCCAACGTAGTGTGGAGTCTCTCTGTCCCCTCCTCACATCTGGTGTGAAACGTGCGCGCGCGCTGAGGCCGTTTCTGCTCACATGCATCCCTCCAGCCTGGGTTTGGCACTTCCGCCACTTTGCCTCCCCCTGATGATGCCCGCTTTTGTGCAAACTAGAAATCGTTTCACATCGCCAGTGCCCCAAGTTGTTCATCTTCATTGCTAAATGGTTGTGTTTCAGCTGCTCGTAAGTGCATTTTTTTTGTGGCGAGTGCAGAGAGAACAGAAGTCCCTGAACCCTATGGTGGAGTAGATACCCAGAGAACCTCACTTCTGAGATCCTCAGCCAGGGGAGGGAGAAGGAGCAGACTCGTAGGCACGCTTTCAGATTGCATCCCGCACATAGAAGGGGTAATCATAGTAGACTAAAACTGATGTTGGTCTGCAGAGCATTTTCAGGGCTGGGCCCCAAGCTAGAAGCATTCCATTGCATATGTTATTAATCTGTATTTTGTGCAACTCTTCTTGTGTGTGCTAAACATCTGCCAAATTAGGTTACGACCATTCCAAAAGTCAACTCTCGGGATCCGCTTTTCCCAAGTATGTTGCATGTAGCATGTTTCGTTGGCTCATGAAATAAGCTTATTTCCTCAAGACTCAAACAGTGGATCAGGAACAGCGGCTGGCTTTGAGCTCTCCCTGCGGCTGACTTTGGGCTCTCTCTGGAGTGTAACCTTCCAAAGGCTGACATCTGGGGGTGAAGTTCAAAGTGGGTGGGATGGCTGGGAGAGCGATGACCAATGTCTTAGGCACTTAGGCTCTCTGTAACTGGCTTGTAAAAGAGAGCTCTCCTTTGGGTTTTCTGAAGTAAATTCACCATCTTTCTCAGTCTCATGGCCTTGCTATTCAGCCTGCTTTAGCCCAGAAGCGTTTCTCTCACTCTTTTGTTGCTTTTTTGAGACAGCGTTTCTCTATATAACCACATGGCTATCCTGGAAGTCAGTCTGTAGACCAGGCCTTGAACTCACAAAGATCCTCCTGCCTCTGCCTCCCGAGGGCTGGGATTAAAGGTGTGTGCCAGCACCTCCTGGGCTCAAATGAGTTTCTTTAAGTTGTCTAGGGTTGCAGATGCCTAACAAATAAGTACTTAAAATTTTTAATGTTTTTATACAATTAAGCTAGACTAGAAGGCATAATGGTTTAGCACCTCACGAGACACAATACTTAATTTTGGGATTTATTTTTTTATATGGCTGTGTACATATCTGTGTGTTATATGTGTGCTGGTGCCCAGAAGATAATGTCAGATCCCCATACAGCCAGAGTTACAGGCTGTTGTGTGTCTCCCGAGTAGGTTCTGGATTCTGAATACATGTCCTCTGCAAGAACACCAAGGGCTGTTAACCACTGAGCCATCTCTCCAGCCACTTTTATAATTTTGGTTGTGAGCCTGGCCTTTTAACATCTGGGCCATCTCTCCAGCCCTCTGGCCCCTTTTAAATCATAAGATACTTTCAAGGATGTTATTAATGTTAACTGATAAAGAAATCAGTGACTACATAGCAGAAGATATAAAGGATTTTAATTATACATCATCCCAGTAATTCCACAAATGAGAACCCAATGCTCAGAAATGTATAAAACATTCTCTTTTTTTCTGAACAGAGACAAACTGTAACTAGTGGTAGAATGAGGGAAAGTACTCCCTAATACTTAGAAATTTGTTTTGTTGTTTTGTTTTACTTGCTCTTTACTGATCTTGGGTTCTTTCTGCCCTTTCTTTTTCTTTTTATTTTGTAGTGGCCACAGATGTCTTTAATTCCAAAAGCCTGGCCGTTCAGGCCCAAAAGAAGATCCTGGGTAAAATGGTATCCAAATCCATCGCCACCACCCTGATTGATGACACCAGCAGCGAGGTGCTGGATGAGCTGTACCGGGTCACCAAGGAGTACACCCAAAACAAGAAGGAGGCAGAGAGGGTCATCAAGAACCTCATCAAGACGGTCATCAAGCTGGCCGTCCTCCACAGGAACAATCAGTTCAATCAAGACGAGCTGGCGCTCATGGAGAAGTTCAAGAAGAAGGTCCACCAGCTTGCCATGACGGTGGTCAGCTTCCACCAGGTGGAATACACCTTCGACCGCAACGTGCTGTCCAGGCTGCTGAACGAATGCCGGGAGCTGCTGCATGACATCATCCAGCGCCACCTCACCGCCAAGTCTCACGGACGGGTTAACAATGTCTTTGATCATTTTTCAGATTGTGATTTTCTGGCTGCCTTGTATAATCCCTTTGGAAAATTTAAGCCTCACTTACAGAAACTCTGCGACGGCATCAACAAAATGTTGGATGAAGAGAACATATGAGCGCGTGAAGTAAGCGATCTCTGTGAAGACAAAGCACTGCTGACTCATGAAGGGAAGACGGAGAATCTTTTAAAGATGACGTGTATGGCAGAAAGGCTCGGCTGATACAACCATTGGACATTAATGGTAGTACTTTTGTGTGGCTTGTTGTAGCTGAAAAAAAAAAAAGCATATTGCCAAAAAAATTCTGGCTGAAAATGTCTTAATGTATGTCAGGATGTGGGAAAAATAGATGGTTGGTAATTCAAAAGTAAGAATGACACAAAGACACATGAGTGTGGCTCCAGTCGCTGGGCTTTCTGTATTTTAGGGAAATTGTGTTGGTGGCACATTAGATATTTCTAATATGTACAAAGCTGTGTATCTTGATTCACTTTTTTTCTTTACTATGTCTGTGTATCTCTCTTAAAATGGCAAGGACCTCTCTTTGCTGTCATTGATCCTTTTGAAACAATTCTGCTTCCTAGGCTACTCGATTCTTTTGTTACAGATTATCGTTGACATTCAGGAATTAAATCTGAGGCCATGGAATTGAACTCCTAGGAAAGCAGAAAGCCAAGTATCTGAAATCATGACTGTGGAAATAGATAACATGTCCATTGTAAGAATGTACGTCTGCAGCTGAGTTGTACTTTGTAGTACCATCAGTGACACTTAGATCTCAAAATGGTAGTGGCATGTCATTGTCTTGAAATACTTGCTTAGGGCCTAACTTTGATGTCATCTTGAACATGTGCTGACAAATGTCTCTGGTATTAACGTTCATTTCACACAGGAGGAAAAAAAAACTTCTAGATTGGTTTTGATATTGAGATAATAAAAAGTAAGTAGCATGAAGAAAAGGAAAACAGCCTTGAATTTAAAGATGAACTCATCAGACTAATTTCGGAGAGTGAGGGGTGAAAGGATAGAAGGGTGTTGCTAATAATGTAAAAAAGATGGATGCATTTCAATGTTTAACGGGGATCATGAATAAAGGACATCTTTTTTTTTATTTGCTATTTTGATGAATGGACCAATGAGTGTGTCTTTCTCCAGCAAGTGTGTGCTATTTCTGTATAATTTTAGGTGTGTGGATGATAAAGCAGACCTTTGCTTATTTTGTAAAAGAAATAGAAGCCTACTGGCCAACTCTGTCATCTAGGAAATAACAGACCCAGCCACCAGCACTAAATATTGGCACTGCCACTGAGTCTGTCGTTTACCTACCTCAAGAATATTGGCAATGAAGCTGGGCGGTGGTGGTGCACGCCTTTAATCCCAGCACTCAGGAGGCAGAGGTAGGCGGATCTCTGTGATTTCGAGGCTGGGCTGGACCAACAGCCTCCAAAACAATACAGAGAAACCCTGTCTTGTAAAACCAAAAAAAAAAAAAAAAAAAAAAAAAAAAAAAGAATATTGGCAATGAGATGAAAATTCACCAGAAAAGGTCCCAAGAATGAAAATCCCAGATCTCCTTTGACCCATCCTAGAATAGAAGGAAGTGATCAGGTTTCTCTGAGATCCAGCTTTGCTCAGTTAAGACAAACAGCAAAGGCAAAAAGTGTCTGTACCTGAGTGATATGAAATCCTGATTTGAGCTGAAAATATAATTCTTACCTCTTGGAGCCTTGTAGGTGATTGCTAGATGTTTAACACTAGCATAATGGCTGCATTACTGACGATTGGACTTGATAACTGCTAAATGGCTCACACACAGAGCTCAGCAAGCCTTCCTTGACCAGCCCTTTCCCCACTTGAAGGAAGCTAAGAGTGTGATCTGATGGGAGCCACTGATCTGCTATATTTTTCCTCTACCAGAGCTTGCACAGCAGATATATGCATGGTGATGTCAGCAGCTTCTTGAGAATTTCTAGCTCAGTAACACAGAAGACCTCAGAGAAATTTAGGGCATACTGCTGGATCTGTAGGACACACATTTGAGTCATACTGATGGATCTCTAGTAGCAACACAATGCACATATGAACAGTGGTAGCATTCCTTGGTTTCATATGCCAGTGTCTTACTTAGGGCTACTATTGCTGTGATGAAACACCATGGCCAAAAGCAACTTGGGGAGGAAAGGATTTTTTTTTTTTTTTGGTTTTTACGAGACAGGGTTTCTCTGTTTTGGAGGCTGTTGGTCCAGCCAGGCCTCGAACTCAAAGAGATCCGCCTGCCTCTGCCTCCCGAGTGCTGGGATTAAAGGCGTGCGCCACCAACGCCCGGCTGGGGAGGAAAGGATTTATTCAGCTTACACTTCAGTTTTACAGTAAAGGTAGGTAAATCATCAAAGTAAGTCAGGGCAGGAACATGGGTAGGAGCTGATGGAGAAGACATGGAGAAGTACTGCTTACTGGTTTGCTCCCCATGGCATTCTCAATGTGTTTTCTTATAGAACCAGGACTGTCATTCCAGGGCTGGCATCGCTGACAATAGGCTAGACTCTCCCCCATGAATCGATGTTTAAGAAAATGCCCTACAGGCTTGCTTACAAGCCAGATCTTATAGAGACATTTCTCATTGAGTCTCCCTTCTCTCAGATGACTCTAGCTTGTGTCCATATTGATGTAAAACTAGCCAGCACACCCAGGTAGGCAAAAAAAAAAAAGTATCCGTGGACAACTGGTTCAAGAACACCCTATAACGGACACACCAAGTGCTCACCTTTATTGCTCTTTGCCTTATCCCTTTGCAGCCTAGAACCTGGTCTCTCCTGGAACCCGGAGCTCCCTGTGCCTTGTCAAGGCTGGCATCCAACAAGCCCCAGAAACCCTCCCATCTCTGTGTGACATTTCTGTTACTGAAAACCCATTTCAACTTCTCTCCTCCCATGACATTATTCTCGGCCTTTGATTTTTACTGTGCTCTTCAATACACTCTTCTCCCTTGCTCCTTGTTGGCCGTCGTGGGTTTTCTCTTGAGCTCCAAATTCCTGTTTATTGATGGGAAGCAATCTCACCCTTGATTGTCATACTAATCTCAAAAGCACAAGCAAGCCAAGACATTGTTCTCATATGTATTTTTGGAGAGAACAGTCCCTTATTATTCCATGCCATAAAAGATAGCCCTTATTAACTTACTTAAGATCTTGCTTCTTCACCCTCCAAAAAACACCTAAACTAATAATAATAACTGTTTAATATGTTTGATTTTTACCTTGATATTTAAGTTACATTACCTGGTACACCTAAAGAGATCTTGCAAAATTAAGGGCTTAAAATAAATCATTCTGTGGTGTTTTTATTTTTGCATTCCCTTTATTTATATTCTATTTTTCCTTAATCTTTAGAAGTGTTTGTTCCTAAACTATGGTAGGAGATAATCTCCTAGACCTTCATCACTGAGGTAACAGCTAAATTTTACAAGAGTTCTTCAGCACTGAAATATGTATCATCCAAATTTATACATTAAAATCCTAATACCTTCCTCAAGATGGCATTAGAAAGTGAGGATTTGGGGAGATGCATATATCATGACAGACATCCGAGGGAACCTTTCTGACCATTGGCTGTATAAAGATACTGTGAGAAGTCACTATGCTCCTCACAGAAATACCACCATGAAAGCACCCAGATGCACTCATATTTAGAACCTCTAGAGGGTGGGGAGTGAATTTCTATTGTTTAAAGCCACATTATTCACATTATTTCCTATAGCAGCCAAAAAGACAACCATAAATCAGAGAAAACAAAAATTAAGAGAACAATAAATTAGAGTGCCCCTCCCCCACCTCTATGAATGTGTTCAGTGCATACTCCAAAATGATACTCAACAATCTCAATTGTATATTATACCACTTCCTTCAAGTTTTAGGAAATGAAAAAAATCTCATGACCTCAATCATTCCTTCTATCTGGAGCAGTTGGTCCTCTAAATACTTCATCTAGATTTTTGTGCACTTGCCTATAAATTATCTCATTTGTATTTTATTCCCAGCATCAAGCACATTCTTGGCCTAGAAATGATAGTCAATAAATATTTATCTGAAGAATCAAATATGAAAAAAGCCACCCTGTAGATATCAAACACTGCAGATGCTGAAGTCCCTTATAGAAAATCATAGTATTTGTATCTATCTACTCTGCCTGTATATCTTCCTATATTTACATGCCTTAAGATTACTTACAACACTTATACAATGTAACTGCTGATTTGGAAACAAAGCAAATAATGTTTTGTTTATGGAATAATCTCACGAAAAGTGTGTGTGTGTGTGTGTTCAGTGCAAACACTTTCTTCAGTGTTTACTTGTGTGTGGGGGGGGCATGCCTGCAGAGGTAAAGGACAACTCTCAGGAGTTGGTACTCTCCTTCCACCTTGTGTGTTCTGGGGATTGAACTCCTGTATCAAGTACTTGTAGCAGCAGGTACCTTTACTTGCTGACTCCTGGAAACACATTAAAAAAAAACAAAACATATTTTTCAATCCACAAATGCCGAACCCACAGACATGGAAGGTCAACCGAATGCTGAAGCAGGAAGTCTTTGCTGTCATTTGTTTTCCCCAGAACCGTCTGAAGACCATTGCCTCATTAACCTTTTGCCTGGGAAGTATGTATTTCCAGGTCAGTTAAAATGTCATGATTAGCAAGTTATTTCCTGATGTGTGCATGTAGGTTCTCTTTTTTTTCTGAGCAGCAGGCTAATTTCTGATGTGACTAGGCTCCCCTGCCTTTGCATGACTTTTGGCAAGAAGGACTAGCACTGGGAAGAATTTGAACAAGCTTGGGGTAGATACCTCTGGGCTGAGTTTGGAATCTTAAGTGTCTTTATTTTCTAAGTTTCATGGTTTACTTTTGGGGCTCTTTGTTTTTGTTCTTTTAGATACAAAGTCTGACTTTGTAACCCAGCCTGGCCTCAAAATTATCATCTTCCTGCCTCAGCCCTTCAAGTACTAGGACTATAGGTGTGTGCTCCTGTATGTCTTCTAACTTTTTCTTCCCAATGATGTCCCTTTAGATTGGTGAAGTAAGTGTGTTCCAACTGACTTTACTAGCTATGTGCCGATGGATTTTCTGCCAAAAGTATGATACATACATACATACATAATAAGTGAATGATAGCCAATATTGACAATTAATATTTATGATATGTCTGCCAGACATATTCAAAACTCCCCTGCCAAAATCTTCATTACTTTGCAAATAAGGAAACTGAGGCCAAGGAAATTAAAGTTTTCTTGAGGTCACACTTCCATATCACAGCTACAATATCAGTACACCCTTGGTTGTATTTAAATGCGTCATGGCTAAAAGCAATAGTAAACACATCATTGGCTGGGAGAGAAAGTTTTATGCCTCTGAAAATGTTTTTCAAATAGTGATACTTTATATCGAATTTAAATCGATACAGGTCTGACCTATTCTCCAAGATCTGGATCTAATTTTATACAAAGGCATTTTTCTGTGTTGCAGCATGGGTTCTAATTTGAAGGCACCATCGTGTAGCTCAGATTTCTGTCCCTTATGGTGCCTCTGCTCAAGGTGCTCACAATTAAGGATGGTTTGACATGGGCTCCTGAGGCGCCCCTCACCCACGTGCCTGCACCAAGACAGCCCCCCACCATTGTGTGCCAAGGAGTAGTATGGCATCAGTTCAAAGCGTCGACTTTACTTCCAGGTTTGGAGGCTGAAAACATTTTGACAAGTAAGATTTAAAACACACCCATGTATTTTTCTGATTATCAGAACTCGCAAATACAGCTCAGCTTGTTTAAAAGAAAAGTCGGTGTGAGAAACGTCAGTGACACAGATGTGGCCCTTTTTGTGTCTATAACAGTATCTCATTCGTGATTTTCTGGAAAGCCTCCCACTCCCCACCCCCACATGAATGCACATGTAAAACAAAAGCCTACAAAGTGCAGACTTCTAATGGATTCCTGCCACAGAGGGTTTGAAATAATAGTTTCCGCATCCGGAACCTGTCAAGTTCGGTTTGTCCCCCATTGAGAGTTATAAATGCTCCTTGAGATACTGGATGTGAGTATATGAGCTCAGCCGTAATTTAACAAAC